TATATATATATATATATATATATAGTTTTCAAATACATTTGTAGCATTCATTGTGGCATATCATAAATATATATATATATGGGCATACAACAATTTTTTTGTCAGGGAAAATTTGATAATCTTGTCAGAGTTTTATACGCACAATATGCTAGTAATTCTGGATGTGCTATGTCATTTTCAGTATCAAGAAAGCAGCTAGCTTCCAAGACATTTACCTAATTTTCATGTATTGCCTCGTTTCTCGCCGAACATTATACTCGTATGTTTTACCTTCGTTAATGTAGGGATTAAATTCTGACAATCTGTCGGGTACTAAGTACTCTTCGTTTTCGATTACTTGTTTTTCACGCCAGGTGAAAGCAATGTCATCCGTGTGTCGTATTCATATATTTGATAATAGAGATGACCTGGACATGACATTTATACTGTTCACGTAGTACATTTTATTAGTATACGTTTTATTTGCTTTATTTGTGAAGAATATTATTAATAAAGGCATTACCCTCTTTTCAGTGACTAGTCTAAGAATATTAGCATGGAGGAGCTAATGGGGTAAATGGGATAGTGAACAGGCGCAATCCGTGGGAATGAGATGATACAATGTAATTTCTTAACAACCAGAGTGTAATTTTTTTGGTTAGCAAATTTCTAGTGGGGAAGCCTTGGGAGAACATTTTGAGGAAGATTGTGCGCTACCCCTACAAATTTATAGATTCCTCCGCCCTTGTGATGTTAAAATTTTGGTGTGGATAATATGTAGATAATACTACCTCCAGTACGTCATTCCCAAATCTGGCTCTCAATAAAATAAATTAGAGTGATTCATTTGGCTCTCATCTGCTTTTAAGATGTCTGAATAATTTGATAAATTTCTTTACTGTACCGTACTTATTCGTATTGTGTTGACGAGAGCGGGCGCTGCTCATGTCCAAAATTAAAATGGTAAACTGTTAGTTTAAGTCGAAGTACTTCAGTCAATTATTTAGGTTTATTATGGTTTCCAGTTGAGAGAGTTGAGAGCCAGTTGAGAGTAGATAATAATAACAATAATAATAATAATAATAATAATAATAATAATAATAATAATAATAATAATAATAATAATAATAATAATAACAATAGTAATAATAAATATAATGATAGGCCTAATGATAATGATGATGATAAGATGATAAGATTTTATGATGATGCTGATGATGACGACGACGACGATGATGATGGTGGTGGTAATGACAACGAAGAAGATGATGACGAAGACGATGAGTCATTCAACTCCAGGATATTGATATAGGCCTATTCTACTGAAACTATATCAATTTTATATTCTGTTGACGAAATTTAGGTAACAACGTTTGCAGATTATGTAAGAAGTCGTACGCACGTCCAAGTACCTTAAAGACACACATGCGCGTGCACTCGGGGGAGAAACCCTACAAATGTTCCCGCTGCAAGAAATCCTTCTCACAGACTGCCAATCTGACAGCTCATATGAGGGTGCATTCGGGAGATAGGCCCTTTAGTTGTTTTGTATGTCATCGAAAGTTTTCACAGGTAGGTCCAACAGTGCTGTGATCACAACCTTCAAGATTTCATAAAATCGGAAAAAAAAAACAAAACAAAACAAAAACAAAAAACAAAAAACAAACCATTATTTGCAAATATAAACGAAAAGAAGCCCTGACAATTTGGGGATTTGAAAGGCTTAATTTTTTCGCTCTCAGAAAATGTAAAAATCAAAATCTTTTTCTCGCCAATGAATTATGTTTTGTTTTCTTTCTATTTTCGACCCGTGGTTGGGGAGAGGGCAGCTCTCTCCGACGGTGAGTGGGTGGGGGCGCCACCACCACTGAATTGTTACGCAAGATATACAAAAAAATTTAGGTTGAACCTAAACGAGGATACGCCCCATGATACATTGTAAACAGGAAACAACGTCACATCAATCTGAGCCACAGAAGACAATGGACTTCCTCACGGAACAATTAGACATACTGAATTTTATCATCATGAAGGTCATACTCCCAATCCACAAAATAATTTCGAAATCTTTATACACATATTTTCTCATATTTAACAAATTAGTATACCGCCACATGAAATATTGAATGAAGATACATCTCCTTTCACCAAGGAGCTTGTCTGTAGCTTTTTCCACTCTGCTAGGTTTAATATTCATTACCGTATTAATGACTGTAAAATATTTTTTGTTTTTTGTTTTTTTTTTTACTCCAGAGCTCGTCGGTGACAACCCATATGCGCATTCATTCCGGAGAGCGTCCCTATCGATGCAGTTTTTGTCGAAAAGCTTTTGCCGACAGCTCTACTTTGACAAAACATTTACGAGTTCATAGCGGGGAGAAGCCGTATCGTTGTAATACATGTCATCTCAGATTTTCACAGTCGGGCAACTTAACAAGACACATGCGTGTACATGGACAAAATTAAAAATATATGCCTACCGGTACTACCTGTCCTATAAGTCAATGTTATTACCTTTCAAATGAAAGTAAAAGAACATGAAATTAATTTTCTTTGCCGATGGTGGTTCACACGAGACCAATTTATACGCGCGCGTTGACGCGCAACAGCGCGTATAATTTGCTCTATCCAGTGTGGACCAGGCTTAACAGACGCAGAATATTGCAGTTTCTTTACTATTTTAAATATCAGTTAAGTGACAGGTGACATACAGTGGTGGCTCCAGATGCCGACAAGGGGTCTGACATGTCCGACAGTGGGTTCCGAACCAAGGGGGCCGGCTAGATCAGTGTCGCGGAATAAAAATTCCTGGTAGGGCTCATATAAGGGAGAGTTTTCATGCCTTAGAGAATGGCCAAAAGTTGGCAGATTAATATTTATGGTCCGACGACCTCGACAGCGGGGGGGGGGGGGGGGGGGGCCAAGGGTTCCAATCCTGTCAGACGGTGCCACCACTGAGGATATAATCACATTAAGAATTGTTGTGGTAAAAGTTTTATAAATCAGCGAAAATTTATTTTCTTTTTAATTTGGGTCTTATTTGAATTTGAAAATTTCTTTGTTGCTAGTAAACTGAGCAATAATTATGAGCAATAAGCAATAAAATAATTATTTTATAATCTGTTTTTAAAGAATTTCACAACAGGTAATATATCAATATAATTATTGTTAGATAAAGACCTGTTATAATAGTTATAATACTTATAATTTTGTATTCATGGTTGAACTGTGTTAAAACTGAGTGCGGGCACGTTTAATATATTGTATTTATCTTCGTGTTCAGAAATGTAATATATTTATAGCATGATTATATCCGTACTATTTTTTTTCCAGAAAAACGAATGTTCTAAAATTATATTTATTGTAAATAATATCGAATGCAAACTATGACAGTTTTAAAACATCAACTATTTATAACGTTTATCGAGAATCTTATACTCGGATTTGATACTACATCTTCGGCTTGATTTTTAAGTAGGTCAACACAAAATCTATGTCACGTTTACAAAGATATCATAATGTTTCAGTTTTTGTTGTAACATTATACCCATGTACTTTACTGATAATGTAAGTTTAGCTTTTTAACATTAACTTTAATCAATAAATTAGTTTATTACAGTTGTTATGAAAACATGAAACTTCTTCAGTTTCGTCTTGTTGATCATTCGTAAGTGTATCTGTGTCAAATTTCTTGTCAAATGTATTATTCGCATTAATTTCACAATAACCATCGACATCATGCATTCACTTCAAGAAGTTTATTTGTTATCTATTTATTCATCTATTATTATTAATATCATAAATCCATTCACATCCACCAACATATATTGATTGATTGATTGATTTATTCTTTCATTTATTCATTAAGTTATTCATTCATCCATTCATTCATTCATTCTTCAAATTAAACTCACTCACTCACTCACTCATTCCTTTATTTATTTTATTCCTTTTTTCTGTCTTTCACTCATTTGTTTAATTATTCTTTCTTTCATTCATTCATTTATATACACATTGACATCCATACACTGTATCCATTTAATCAATTGTTCATTAATTCATTCTTTCTCTCTTGCTTATTCGTTCATTCATTCCTTCAGTCATTCATCCATTCCGGTATTTTTTTCATTCATTCCTCCATTCCTCCATCCATCCACTCGTTCATTCATTCTCAATTTCTCTTTTATAATCATTAATGCATTTAACTATTCATCTAACCATTCGTTCGTTCGTCAGTTTATTTATGAATTCATTCACTGTCCATTTATTTAATCATTCCTTCATTCTTCAGTTTATTCATTCACTAATTATAAATTGAAATTCCCTCATTCATTTTTCAATCGTTCATTTATTAATGTATTCATTCATTCATTCATGGTTTCATGATTTTATTCATTTATCCGTTTATCATATTCAAATATTTAGGTCTAATAAATTTTAGCTTTTCCAGCTATCAAACTTAACGACTAATTTTTATTCTCGGTAATAGATATTGCGCATATTCACGTGTTAAGATGAAGTTCAGTTTTGAGACCAACTGGGGCCTAATTTAGAAAGTCAATAAAGCACAGCGATAAAAGAAATCACGATTACAGATATCAAAGAATTATATAACACCACGAAATAATGTTTAGTATACAGATGTAGGCCTATGTCTACGTAAAAAAACGTTCAAAATGTAAGAGATTGTGGTAAACTTCACGGAGTCTAAGATTAGATAAAAATATGCAGAGACCACGTAGAGGTCTTTCGTTCTTTTCTTCACCATGAGCCATGATAATTGCAATTTATTGATGTTCAACTTCTTAATATCTTGAAAAGCTTGGTCATGCAGTATCAGCTCCCAGCATGGGAGGTTTATTCAACAAGCACAGATCTACTCAAACGATGGACCCGGCCAGGCACCATGTTATGCATCATCATGTCTTCGGATACCACTTATGATGCCAAACTGCCTAGGTTCAATCCTTCCCGGTGAACTCTCCATAATCGTCCCTCTTTACACGGCACCACCAATATTATTACGTGCCGGGTTAGGGACTCTCATAAAACATTATGCATAAAGTGGACGCGGTCTGAGGCTGTAGGCCTACTCACGATTACCGATCTCCTACAAGATTATAAAATGATATAAAAGTATATCTGCAGAATGCTAATACATACCGTACGGTACCTGTACAGTCTTAATAATATGACTTATTAATAAATCATACTCTCAGTTTTCATTTCAATTTTTTCACAATTTAAATATTGTACTCACTGTTACTTATTAAAACTTGTTTTTTGTTTTTTTTTGGAATTTTGATGTCTTTTCAAATTGTTGATATTTTGAATTATTGTACATTTCAATTTCCTTTCCCCCAAACTTCAGTGCGCATCCAGGTATTCAAAATAGAAGGCGCCCATAGAGGGTACGGTCCACAATACCTCAGCCCATTATGATTGGGGGCGAGGTACACAATTTCATGTCTATGTCTCTCTAACACTCTCAGACTTGAAGTAACTATATCTTTACCCATTATTTTTTAACTTACAAAAAATAGGCTGGGCCTCCTTGAACCCGCATCTGAATTTACCTTTTATCCTGATGGAGTAGTACGGTTATACTGTAAATTAAGCACACGATTGGCCTATAAATCATGTGGAGTGAAAATGGTTTAAAAAATTGAAAATTCAATTTGAATTGCTCTTTAAAAAGTATCAAACAAGTCACCAACTCTGAATGAGACACACATCGGGAAAAAAATTAGTTTTATTGATTTACAAACGTTTTGATGAGAAAAAGCATCATTACAGGATCTGCAAGTGAAGTATAAAGAACGGATGCAATCTTGTTTTCGAAGAAAATGTGTTGACCATCTATTTTTCGATTTGGACGCTAAAACTTACTTTAAAAACACAAAGTATATGCAATTACACAATCGTCATAATTTTTATTTATTTATTTTTTTCAATTTACAGAAGGAAGATTTAACCACTAATTAGTCTTAGTGTTTTAAAACGCTCAGTTGATTGAATCACTAGACCACTGCATCAATAATAAAGTTATATATCCACCGCCAATCCGTAGCAATGCTTTGGTACTCGTTTAAATAAAACATGAGCAGGATGTGGTTGGTATAGGGTATGCCACGGTACTTTGTGTAAAATAGGCATAGGCCTACAATAAAATGTTAGAAGACAACATTTTCGATAGGGGTCCATTCTAAAGCCCTCTTTTTCACATTCTTCCTTTTCAGTATTATTCACTTACTCTACTTTACTATACTCTACTCGTGGTTTACATCAAAAAGCCCTTGTTATAGTGAGATTGAGAGAAACTGTCGGGTCCGACACTGAGTAGTCGTTCGCCAGTTTTGCTGCTCGTGTTTGAGGCTGTGGTGAACCTTTCCTATTACGTACTCTATTATTTTATTTCTAATACTTCTATTGAACCGTACTTGGAATTTGGAGATGGGATTTTTCCGGAACCTGCTTAGATAATACTTTAATTTAATATTAAAAGAGAACTAGCAAAGTGATTTTTTGTTCTAGAGTGAATTTTTGATATGCCATTAATAATAGAATCAACCTTAAAATCGTTTTTTTGGCTATTTTTTATGAAGTTATAGGCGATTATATACGATTTTACCATGACGTCACAGGCGAAAAAGTAACAAAAGATCGTGTAAATAGCGCCGCGTAGGGTATCCACCGCGTAGGGTATCCGCCGCGTATGATCTTTGCGTGCATGCTATAACAATCACAATTTACAGCCATGGTGTACCTAAATACAACGGTGGGGGAAAACTAGAATATGTAACAGCAGTATGTTCTATTAACTTAAAATTTGTACTCGGTAAAATGGGTTATACTGAGCCGATTTTCACCATTCAAAAGTCGATATAAGGTGCTAGTTAACGTTTAAGATTTTTGGAAAGAAAATAATGAAATTATGTCTCTAAATAGAAGTTCCTATACATCAGCCGAATGTAGTACAATTGTTTATCAGTGTGATTAATCTGCTCAATAAACAATTTTAATTACTTGTGCAAATATAAAGATGTGGGTAACATCTTTGTATACGACTTTTCATGGATCTCGACCTGCTATGTAGGCCCTCTTTAGGCTAAACGCGACTAGAAGGTTGGAAGCGACGATCGAAGAAAAACGGTTAAGCAAGCCAAGGACTTCGCTAACTTCCATTCCTCAGTATTAAAATCCTTGCATTCATGGGCACTGTCTAAAACTTTCTTCCAGCTTATCTCTGAAAAGATTGTATCCTTTTCGTCTGCAGTTGGCTCAACATGAATTACACAGGAGCCAGTGAGCTTCCATGACGGCCTAGGCTCGGACATGATTCGTTGTTGTTTGTTGTTATTTCGCGACGTCATCAACGAGTACAATACTGTACATTCATTATCCACCATCAACTAAACTGCCTTAAAGAAAAAAAAATCGGTTCGTGTGGGAATCGAACACACAACCTCCATGTTTGCTAGTCATTATCCACCATCAACTAAACTGCCTTAAAAAAATAAATCGGTTCGTGTGGGAATCGAACACACAACATCATGTTTGCTAGTCATTATCCACCATCAACTAAAATGCCTTAAAAAAAATGGTTCGTGTGGGAATTGAACACACGACCACCAAGTTTCTCGTAACAAAAAGTTGTGTACTTGCAAAAAGACTAAATTAATCATTGTTTTTTAAGTTTGAATATAGTGTTGTTAAGAATAATAATAATAATAATAATAATAATAATAATAATAATAATAATAATAATAATAATAATAATAATAATAATAATAATATTATAATAAGATTTGTAAAGTGCAAACATCTCCACCTAAATAGGTGCTGGGCAGTGTCAAACAAGCAGTAGAGAAAAAAACAAGATGCATATCACAAGAAGAAAATGTAACAAGACTCATCATTTTATTACTTTACCTTCTCATTTTTTTAACCACAGTTATACCAATGTCTTTATTTCCTTTTCTTTTCTTTCTGTTTCTTACACTTTCCTTTTTTGTCATATGTTTCCTTATCTTTTTCCTATTCTTTCTTATGTTTCCTTTTCTTCTTTTTTTCCTTTCTTGTGTTTCCTTTTTTTCTGTTTAATTTTCTGTTTTAGTCTCTCCTTTTCTTTCTTATGCTTCCTTTCCATTCCATTTCTTTCTTATGTCATTTTTCTTATTCTTTTCCTTTTCTGTCTTACGATTTCCATTTTTTCCTTTTATCTTTTTCTTTCCCCCTTTCTTTTTTATTTGTAGTGAAAATCAGGGCCCCCGTGACCTTTTTCAGGGACCAATGTTTCTCTATTGTTTTAGCATCACTAGATTAAAAAAATGAACGGGCGGGCGGGGGGAACGTCCTTTAAAGTCGGATAAGCTTCTCTTAGCAGACCTTAGCATATGATCATATATTTTTTTCTACAGTGTGCACTCTTGTTCTTTTAGATTAGAATGACTTCGTTCTTTTTTTTTTTGAATTCTTTTTGTCATTAGAAGAAATGTAAACCACAAATATAGTGCAAATATTTATAAGATTGTGTCCCATCACTCACAGTTATGAATTTTCCTATCTGTTTTCCATTTTTTCTCTCGGTTTAAAAAATACCCATTCGGTGACCATCATTAGATTTTTGCTAATTAAAGCTTGATTTCTGTTCCTTTGCATATTTCCCTGCGATATACAACATTTTTAACACTTTAAATTTATTATTTGTCGTATTAAACAACATGGTAGGCCCAAAAAATAAAAATAAAGCAACATTATTTTCTTCTGAAATTTCCATTTTTCGTGGCGGTGAGTGTGCTAATTGGCCAAATATAAAGTTGTTTTATTTGAATCATCATTTTAGACAAGGTACAAAAAAGTCTGTCATATCTAAGACCATACTACATCTGAAGATCAAGAATATAGAAGTTGTTAATAGTTTAAATGAGTTTTTGTTCTAGAGAGGATTTTTGATATGCCATTAATAATGGAATCAACCTTCTCTTTTAAGTTTAGATTTTATAAGTAGGCCTATCTAGGGAACACCTTCGGGACCAAAAAAAGTGTCTCCTTAATAGGGATGTCCCCTGAATAGGGGTACCAAAAATGCAAAATTGTCCCCTTAATAGGGGTTTTTGGCATGTTTTCATACAATGATGACATAAATTCTGTATAATTTTATTTGTATTGACATAGGCCTAAGAATCAGATAAGTAGAATTAGAACTAATTTATAGCAACAATTTTCAAATGTAAATACAATACATTTATAATATGAAATCAGCACAAATGTAATTAAAATAACAATATGAAGTAATACATTCAGTAGGCCTATACCAACATTCACTCTAAGGATTCAGCTGAGAAAATTCTGGTTTATTGCTCAAAAGGGGTTAAAATATGAAGTTGAATGAATTTTTCTTACTTTGAGACTGCTATAGTTGTTGTGATACAGTGATAAAAAAATTAAGTGTCCCCTTAATAGAAGTTATTTGACCATTTGCCACACTCAGAAAGTGTCCCCGTCCCTTTAATATTGGTGTCCCCTTAATAGGGGTTGAATGTAGTGTTAAAAGATATATTGCCCCTCGTTTCCTGGAAAAGTGTCCCTTTAAGTGGTGTCCCTGAATACAGGGATATCCCAAAGGAGGGGTTCTACTGTATCAGATTGATTCTACTTGTTATTACCGGGTACATTTTCTCCTAGATTATCTGTTAATTCAAATTATCTGTTATTTCAAATTTACCATGGGGCCATAGAGTTTGACCTATAATAATAAAGTACAGTACTGTATAATAGTCATCACTATTTTTAGAGACGATTTTTATACTTGATCAAACACTGACATGACTCATTTCACTTTTAACCAATGAGAATACATGAAGCCAGTGACTCCTTATATGATGTCATCATCCACCAATCACACAGCGAATTGGTGACGTTATCATTGAATAAATGAAGCCTAGTTTAAACATCAGCACGATGTTGTTTGTGCATGTTTTCTTCTCAAGAAGAGGTTGGTGTAGACCTAGCCTAGGCTAGTACGGATTATCTCAGCACGTTTAGCATTTAAACACACAAAGGAAAATGGCTGAAGGAGGCAACGGAGCTGCGTCAGAAGGAATTTCAGGTTTAGACAGTTTCTTTGTGAAGCAACGCAGGTAAGGCTAGGCCTAGGCTACATTTTCTAGGCTAGTAGGCTAGGCTAGGCCTAGCCTCTAGGTAGCTAGGCCTAGGTTGGTTGGCAGGCATTCTCATTGGCTTGGTCTCCGCCGCTAGCTTCCTTTAGTCAAGTGTAGTGCTCAACATAACTAGGCTCAGCCTCTCACCTAGCATATACTAGCCCTGGGCTTAGACTTACCTTTTGAGTACTATAATAGGGCTATTTCGTGGGACCGGGGCCAAGGCCTAAAATCGCCTTGGCCTAGAGGTAAGCCTCATGCTGGATGGTAATGAAAGAAATGGATAATTTTCATAAGGCCTTTTCGTAAACAATGTGCTCACCACAGACAAACAGATTTTTAGACAGCTAGGCCTAGAGACTCCAACGAATGGTTGCCAAAGCCTAGGCCCTACTTGCTAGGCCTTAAAGGATTCCTATACTGTATAACATTGTCTCTTATATGTTAATCATGTAACTTTAAAAAACCTGAAATGTTTTTTTTCTCCAGATTTTACATTACTGTATTTTCTTAAAAATAATAATGAAATTTTTTTTAAAGGGATTTAATGTATGAAATTAGGAAGTTAAAATATGGCGATAAACCTGTTACCGAAGGCGAGAGCAAAGAGAAGATAGAGAAGTTCTTCGTGAAATGTCTACAGTCTGATGAATACCCTGATGAAAGTACAAGCAGACCAGAGAATGTTTTGCTTGATATTGGAGACTTGTTCGAGTCTCGGCCTGTATCAAATTTACTCCGAAGTATGCAATTCAGAGAAGAGTTAGAGGGTGTTGTACGTGGGACCGTCAACCGGCAAGAGCAGGAAATGGAGCGTGCTCAGAGACTTCGAGTAGCAGGCTTAGCCATGGCAGCTGCAGCAGCAGAACATTTCTCCCCTGTCGAAACATTAAGCGAGGCATCAGCTAGTATAAGTTCACAGCCCTCTGTGGATTCAAGGTTGGGATTTATTCCCCCTCCCCCACCTTTTATGCCGAACAATACACCGCAAACAGGACAACCGTTTCCATCACCAAATCCTTTTGGGACCTCAAATGGCTTTGCAGCTCAAAATATAGGATCAACAGTAAGAATAAATAAATTTATTCCACTAAAATTGATTTTAAAATACATTTTATATTTATAACCCTTAATTACATCAAAAGCTGAATGTTTTTTTTTGTTTTTTTTTCTGGGATTGCTACCAGTACAGCCAACAATAATGATTTTCAGTAAAAATATTTAAAAAATTATTTTTGGCTTGTTAGTGACTATAGCATAAAAATATTTGCAATTTCTATTCAAGCGATACAATATTACCATCGTCCACAATCATTGTTTTGGTTTTTTTTCTGCATCAGCCTTTAGCAGTTTACATGCTGATTCACTAAACCTTTTTTGTTAATATATTTGTACTGTTATCAGTACAAGTCTGACTTGGCCTATTATATAACATAGATCAATTAAAACTGATAGAATACAAAAATGAATGTATAATAATGATACGATACCAATTTTCATGTAAATAGAAAGGATAAAGATGTTTATTTTGCCTTCTTTTAACTATGAACATAAGTGTTCTTCAGTATAAATATTAAAACATAGCGTCCAGAGATATGTGTTTAGATAAATAGAGCAGTAAAACAATTCATTGAATAATAGCAAATTATATAAATATTTTTTATTAAAAAATCATGTATTTATGTACATAGCAACAGAACCAGTTTGCTGCTTGGCAACAGTTTCAAATGCAACAGTTTTTACAATGGCAACAGTTGCAACAGCCACACCAGCAATGGCAACAGCCACATCAACCATGGCAACAACCATGGCAACAACCACAGCAACAACCACAGCAACTACGAGGCAACAGACCAGCCAGTCAGCAGCAGCCAAATTCACTGCCACAACCACCGCTTGCTTCAGGTGTCCTCTCTCAAAGGCCATGGTTAACAAGACGGGAGTAAGTAAAATAATCATAATAGTATTTTGAATAATGGGTGAAATTAATTGTTTACTAAATATTCTCATATGTAATTTGTGGAAAAAAAATTGTACATTTTTGCTTAGAAATTTGGTAAACTTTGGTCTTCTAGTTACTAATCCTTATCTTGGATTCTGCCATCGATATTTACTACTCTTTGCAGTTCAATTTTTATAGCAAACTTTGTCGTCTGCAAGCATTATCGATATTTTGAAATTTTCAATATCTTTACTTTCTCCTTGAAAATACTCCAATGATTTCCTAACTCCACTAACTTACATCTGAGGCTTAAGTCAGCCACTCACTGCACACGGCGGTTGTCGACCGACGCAGTTCCGTGAAGAACGCAACATTACGACGCATGCGCAACAGATTGTTTGTAATGACAATCCGTTCAGACTGCCACCTACAATCAGCAGACGGTGTTGTGTCACTTGTCGCTCACAGGGAGCGGAGTGGGATTCATCGTGGGACAGTCGTACGACCAGCGTATGATGCCGTGATTGCCCGGCTGTGCAGTATCTGTCAATTGCTCATGTAGGCCAGTGTAGTGTCTATATTTTTAGTAGATACGTTAGTTCCTGGGAACTTTATCGCTGCCCTTGACTGCACTGACTCCTAGGAGACTCATGGCCATTAATATGTGCCAAAGACACAACATATCCTACCTCATCTCGTATCAATTATGGGGCTGAGGTTGTTTTTGAATTCTGTCTTCGGCCTGTCTATTTCAAATTATTTACCTGTCAATGCTATGTTAATATATTTATTACCATAAGATGAAGACATGTTTGTTTATCTCTCACCAGAAACCCTCAGAATATGAATCAGCCACCGGTCGTGAATTTGGACCAGAACCGGCGAGAAGAATTCATCGCAGACATTAGCGATCTAGTCCAACAACAATTGGTCTCATCCACACTTGAAAGCAACTTCCGAGGAAGGCTGGAATATTTACTAGGCGTAAGTACGAATTATGGTGGCGTATTTGAACAGCAATATGTGTGGCAAATAATTAGTGTAAACCTCTAATTTAAAGGATGAAATACTTTGGAGTTTGCATCTATTTTGTGTATAATACCTCTTATGGTCATAACTTAGTGACCCCATTCTTAGTGTCATTGGTTTTTTATTATTGGGAATGTCATGGTACAGACATATCACATAAATTTTACCAGTTAAAAATGAAATCATAAATTAAAAGAATTAAAGTGTTTAACTGATGGCACTATAGTAGTTAAATATTTTTTTTATTTGACTTCACACAGGCAAATTTACAATAAAATAACAATGAGATAAAAATTTGCCAGCGACGGCAAGAGGTCAACAGGTGAACAATCACACCTCTGAAAGTGGCCAATCCTGAATTGCACAGATAACAAGATATAAAATCAAGTATATAAAATTTTAAAATGTAACACTAAAATTTGTAAAAGGGAATTCAATACATAAAATAAATAAAAATAATAAAAGTGGCCGATCCTGAATTTCAACGATTACAAGAAATAAAATCAGTATATAAAATTTTAAAATGTAACACTAAAATTTGTAAAAGGGACTTCAATACATAAAATAAATAAAAATAATAAAACAACCTCACAAAGATTTTTTCAGGAATTGCACACAATGGTCATGAATTTCAATTGGGTGACAATTGGCACAGCAACAATGTGACAGCCAGCTATGAACATTATTCACATTGAACTTACTTAAAAAGAGATTCTGATAAAATAATTTAATATTTTTCTTGAAAGTGTGCATTGTTGGGCGTGGGGTGGGGCTAGTTCTCCTACCCTGTTTTGCCGCTACATTTTAGAATTTCAGTACATACAATATGGCATGTATTGAAATAAGACAAACTTAGAAAACAAATAAATGCCCCCTCTCCTCCATTTGCAGAGGCATGCCTGCATTTCCTAGTTAACTCAACTAAGATCAATAAGTTAGATCAACATATATTATTTTTGGCCTGTTGTTGCTCAAACTGCCAAAAAGAAAATGTATATAATTTTATTAATCCTGCTGTCACCTTATTTGAAAATCATAAAAAATAAGAAATCTTTATCCCTTCCTCAGTATATAAAGCATAATGATTACTGAACTGTTTACATTGTATAACATTGCATTCTTTATGACCATGTTATAGGGTCTTCTCATTTTTTAATCAAAAAAAAAAATCACTAAACAAGGTATAAATATTAAAAAGTCTCGCGTAAGAGAACATTACATCAGGGCACTCCATAATATGAAGTTTATTTTATTTAAAGCTACAAACAAATTATGTTTCAAACATAGTTTGTTCTTCTAGAATTTCCTTATATTCGAAACACAGCTGGGCTTTGGTAACAAAGCTAAAAGTTAACATGTATAAACACACCAAGCAGGAAATATAAGCCTTAAACTTAGCTAGTGTCAGTGCTATCTGTCAATTCTGTCTAACTTCACTATATTGTATTTGCCTGCTTTGCCTCTGACCACTTTTTTTATGGTTTCCTGTTCAATTATCTTGTAACTGGGTCATAAAGTTTCATCGCTGTGATTTATCTATATCTAGCCATATAGTATATTTTATTCACCTATAAAATGAAAATGCAACAAAATGTTTTTAAACATCATCAACAAGCTATAAAATTACATGAATGTACATTATTAGATTTATCATCTATCTACACATTTTATTTATGGTACAGAAAAATTGCAATAATTAATAAATTTGTATTAAATCCAACATTACACTTACGATCAAACATTTCTAACCCAAATATTTAATATTTTTTTATTAGGATCGATTGACCAGTGCTGGATTTGACGGTCAGCGTGTTTCTGAGTTTGTGCAATCACTACGGCCAACACGGAGAATTCTGCGCAATGATTTCCGCCATTTGGGCATCAATGCTCCACGCCCTCAAGATAATCGCCAGTCTCGGGAAGAAACGACATTACCTGTAAGTTTACTGTCAAAATTTTATCATTATACAAGTGCCATAGGGAACATTGTTCTTTTCTGAACTTGTACGCCATTGTGAAGATATTTAGGGAAGTATGCAGAAGTTTGCTACAGTTTAGGTCCTGGTGGCCAGTTTGAAACCAGCGGCAAGCCGGAATAAATTGTGTACATCCAATTTGTTTGTCGGCTCTATCCCTTCTCTTTTCTTTTATAGGCCTACAAATAGTAGGCCTATTATTAGCCTTGGTTCTTCAACATCAACTATGTTAGGCCTTCATGGTAAAAATGAGAAAGCGCAGTAGCATGAGGAAGGGTGGGAGATAAAAAAAAAACAGATGTGCATCCCAGGTTCTCCTAAAACCTAAAAAAAATTATTTATTAATAATTTTAATTTCTGTAAAGAATCACATGAGTTAACAGATTTTTATAATTCACAAATTAATTGGAAATCAACGATTTATAAAAGATTCACAATATAAATTTGTAAATTTTCCCTAGAGAAATATGGGTACTAATAACTTGAATTTTATGCAATTAGGCAGTTTAAAATTTATATATTTGAGTAAAGCATGTGCACTGAAATAAATTGTGCAAATTACCAAAAAATATAAACTCACCTAGTCTAACCTGTTAATTGCTTGTCTGGGATAGCATCTTCACTTGATTATCATCCTAGTCTTCCGTATATTCTTGTGTGTAAGACAAGGCTTAAAATAGCAAATTACAATTGAAAAATGGGGGTCGTCTTATACACGCTGCACATACACATTTTTTATGTTTAAATCATGTTATGTGCAGATCGTCAGTATCAAGCAAATTCACTACTGAGGTGAATGAATGCCTATTTTAAACTCGGGGGAAATAAGATGCCCATAAAAATGGTATTATGTGGAAGATTATCCCTACATTTCGCTCCTTTTTAGTCAGCTGGATGCCGTTTCAAGACTAGGAGAAAGTATGAAATCTGAAAAGATCCTCCTTTATAAATTGTTAGTATTTTCTTCATCAAAAGCACCCTCTAAAAATCCACTCAGGATGTGACATTGTTTAGGCTTGGTTGCAAAAAAAGAAAACAGTGGTACATTTTAGATTGTTTGTAGATCTTTTCAATATGAATTTTTGTGCTTTTTTTTTTTGCTATTCAGCAAAATTAATGACCTGTTGACATGAGACAACAAGCTAGGATGCTATAGAGGGCGTTATACATATATACAGTTCGTCTAGTTCCTGAAATTGACAATAGTCGTCTACCGTTTTTATATAAAAGATAACATGTCCAGTGCCATGCATGTTTCCCAAATGTTTTATTCGCAAGTACCAGGCATAATTTTTCTTGTCTGAAATTTACCCTGCTGAATTATGTTGATTTCCTGCATTTTAAAAAGTTTCGAATTCATCCAGAACATCATGAATGTTATTAGAAGTCAACATTTCAAAAGTTAAATGATATCTACCTTGTTAGAGCAAGCAGGAAATACTTCTCCTCAAATCTGGAGCAATTCCCTGTATGATAAGAATGTAAATGGAGCATAAAATTTAATTCTGAATATGTTTTTAAATTAGATTGGCTCTACCACTAATTTTTAAATGACCGATATGAGGGGTCAAGAAAGGAATTGTGAATGAAAGAGAGTTAGTTTAGTAAAAAAAGGGAGCTTTGGCATCATAAAACCACTTGCTATGCAGTGGTGGATCCAGGAATTTTTAACAAAGGGAGGGTGGGGGTGCCTGGGAGGGACTTTCACAGACGGAGAGTGTAGACCGAGAAAATTAATGATTATGGTACCTCTAGATGGCTGGAAATTGTACTATCAGACCTAAATTTGATTAGTTATTTTCCTTTTTTCTCCATTTTTTTTTTATAATTTGGAAAATTTCATTTACTGAAATGTGATTTATTGATCTTTAGCATACCCTGGGTGATTGATTGATTGTTTACTTTGTGGGTATTAGAGATTAATGGACTGATTAATTGACTGATTGATGATTGATTGATTGATGGGTTATTTCACTTCTTTAGCTTTGAGACAGTTTTTGGATCTTATTCTATGCTTTATAATTAAGTAAAATTTAAAATATATCCATGTGATTGGTCTTATTTCATCAAGTTTATGGAGGCTCTTATATATTTTTAAAATTGGTTATATTTTGCTACAGAAGACTAACCTTATCTGGTTATAAATAATTATAATCCAAGTCAGCTTTTACAATACAAAAACTAACATTGAAAATTATAATAATAGTTTTTGTTCGTAAGATGTATTATTTCAAGTAAAGCTTTTTTGGTCCAGAGTATTTATTACGCATTAAACAAAAACTCCATCCGTGTTTATATCATAAATTTATATTCCACTGAATCAAGTTGCTATGTACCGCCCTCTTTAGTTGTGTTTAATGTATAGAGTATAGTGCATTGTTAGGAAATACCTGACAGGTGTGGAGAGTTATAGCTTTCACAAATGGTCAACATGGCAATTTATATCACTAGTATTAAAATGCCAAGCACTGCTTGATTTAATAGGCAAGCATATTATATGAATGAAGCTAGGTGCCAAATCTAAGCCTTCAAATCATGCTCGTATGTTAAAAAAAAATTTAATGGAATTCCTAGAATGGTAATGAAAATTGACCTACTACGCCAAAGTAGGACATATCAATCTACTTGCATTGATCTATATAGGAAACAAAATCAGGAGAAAAGTTTCATAAGGAATTTAATATATTGATGTCTGAAATTTTTAAAATTAAAAATTCTAAGCACAATCAATATATTTCAAGGATACATAAAATAATAAACTAAATGTCAACATCCTTTGTCGTCCTTAAAATTCAATGCTAAATTGTAATTAAGATTGAGTATAAATACCATCTGTGTAGAAAATTATGCATACATTATTAAAATATCTTACAGTAGATCCTATGATGTCATCTCATAAAATCAACCAGAAAATTTCAAAAATATGAATAACCACATGTTTGATTAGAAAATATTGAGGTAAAGTACAACTTATGGTAGACCTGCTATGATAATAAATTTTAATGATGATAAATGGATTTTCATTAGGCACCGGTATTCGTCCAAAATGCTTATGGCATATAACATGATAAATTGTCCGTTAAGAAAAAAAAGATGGATTTTTAGTACTTTTTGAATAAATTGAGAGATGACGACATTTTGTCAAGTTCTGGCAAGTAGTTTAATGGTTCAGGCTTCCCTGAAACAATGCATGACTGCCCCAAGATCTATTGCGCCCTTGTTTACTTATGATAGTTACTTAATGGCTTCAGTTAGGCATCTTTTTTTTTATGAATCATGTTTTTTCTTATTCTTATTGTTATTTTATTTATTTTTTATATTTTCAGTCGTTATCTATGGGAAAGTTTACTTTTTCTTATAAAGCAATTGGTTATCTTTATTCATAAATTCTTGCTATTTTTCTGTTTATTTCTTCAATTCAACTTTAGGGTAGGCTCCATAAACAATGTTAGTTTAATGGGCCTCCTTTTGTGGCCTATTATATTACTGAAAATAATAAATATACTAATTATTATTATATATTGATAAATTTGATTTTGCTAATTCATATTTCTGTTTTTCTGTTGTTATTATTATTGTTTATTATTATTTATAAGTATTTATGAAATAGGCCTACAAAATATAAAAATTGAAATTAATTGCTGCGAAGCAGCCAATTCATATTCTTGACAGCAATTTGACCTCTGAAAAGTCATTGTTTGTAAAAAAAAAAAAGGAGTCGCTAAGACAACTGAAAAGCGGAGTTTCCTTCTTTCGTTCTGCCGAGTAAAATCAATTACTTTAGGCGACGTTTGTAGACTAACCTACTCGTACCAACGTCCGCATGTCGCGCTAGCCTTATCCTACTCTAGGCCTAGACTAGCTAGGATGGTATAGGCCTAGCCTTGAAGGGGACGAAGGTCCCAATGAAAAACAACGTCGCTCTTTGATAGCTAACATTGTCTATTTAACATCACAATAATTCATTATTAGACCTATAGTTGTTTTTTGAATTGTACTCCACAAATCTCAGCCGATACCTCGCACAACTGGCTAACGTCTCTATCTATTTTCGACGTCATGGCTCGCTGGCTCACACTTGTGATATGTCTCGCACTTGTAATCAAATAACACGCTGGCTCGCACTTTGGCAACACTCTTTGGCAGTCAACTCGCCCCTAGAAAACCCGCCCTTGGAAACTTTCCCCATAAAAAAATGTACACTTCCTAGACCATGCAGTCTTCAAAATAAAAATTGTAACCTTTGTTACCCAATGAGAAGTGTTCTAATATAGACAATGGGTCGTGTCTCATATTATTTGTTATAGTTTTATTATTCATTATTTTCACTTGACTCGCATAAATAATTTTGTTCGAAGAACATTTATATGCAGTTGTACTTCGCAGCACTTCACTTGCAATTTGCAATTTCTAGTAATAAAAAATAAAATGATCATGTGTACTACGCTTATTCTGTAATCAAGGGTCCTAAATTTTTCACTCTATAGACCCCTAAAAAATAATTGAAACTACCCCAAAAAAATAATGGAACTGTTGGCCCTTGGTGTGTCCCCTAACTGTCCATGGTTAACTTTTATTCAGTAGGCTAGGGAGTCCTTTGCTATGAATACTTCACATTGTATATAACCATGATATAATCCATTCAACACACAGCAAGTAATCTGACCTATTACCTACATTATGTTCATACAATGAATTTTCTTAATTATCATTATATTACTTTAGGATATGTTAATTAATGAAAACTTTCTTTCTCTGGCTATTACAACAGGTGCCCTTTGTAAATAATCAAAAATTCCTCGGTTATTCTACATGGAGTAACTGTAACACCCATTCTGACATTAAGTTGATTGATTGATTGACTTTTTCACTATCTTGAACTGCAAGTCAAAGGTTCAACAGAAAGCACTTTCAACGACCTTGGTGTATTTTTAGTAGGACATAATTTTAAACAACTTTGACAGTGCTAAATATTGTTTGCTGCCCTCTGTAGCTTGATGGATGGATTCAGGCTAAGATGATTTATTATTATTCAATGTAGCCACATAGAGATTCCCATATAATAACTGATGAACCATTGATGCTATAGCCTGATAAATTGGGTTACTGGACTCCTAGCCCAAGGGAGCCTTTTTTCTAAAAATAGTAACTGTTTTTTTTTTATTCGAAGGTTGAATATTTGCTTATAATTCAATTGTATAATGACAGTAAAATTTCATTCACCTTTTTAGTTTAATACAATAATTGATGTGAATATTTAAATTTAATAAATTAAAATAGGGTAAACTTGTTTTAATTTTATCCTAATGTATTTCAGGTTAAATGCAAAAATAATGGATAATCATAAATGTTGCATAGTTAAGACTATACAAATACATGAGCTATGCGTAAAAACTATAAGAGAATTTTTATTATTAATTTTGCTAAGTGAGTTGCTGTTGATAAATTGAAATATTAATAGTATTAGTAAGTTTGTAGTACCTTGTTTTAAGTGTGTTTAGACAAGGTGTACGCAACTAGACTCATTACAACTAAATTGCCACCAGACTCCACACAAACAGCATTAATAATACCTAGTAGTATGATTCTATATTCTATTCTGATTATCAAACTATTAAAAAAATTCCTTGTTTAAAAGCTGGCTTAGCTAATTATTTCTATTAATATTTATTTAGTTTTTATCATTCACACTGTTAAACTAGTTGTATAATGAAATCAATTCAAGGCCATGCTTCGGAGGAAAAAATTATTTGATATGTTGTACAACTAATTTTTCTAAGACACAAAAAGCATACTCGGGGATGGTTAATGAGATACAGATTTTTTAATATTTAAAAACTGGGAATTTTATATGCTTTTTGTGTCATAGAAAAGTCAGTTAACTATAAAAGAAAAATGATTTTCCTCTGGAACCTAGCTTTAATATGTAGGTCACACAACATGCTATTCCATTTTAACTTTGTTTATTAATTTTCATAATTATATATCGATTCATTTTTATTGTGCATGTTTAATATTTTTTATGCAAGTCATTCGTTGTTAAGAGCTGTTCAGATTGTGATGTCTTTGTCATTAAATGCATATTTCTTATTGTTACTGGAAAATTGCATGAACGCAAAAAAATAATTAAAATTTAAAGTCTTCTGATAAACTTCGGTGATTTCAAATTTATACCAAACTGAGGTTGAATTTTAGTGATATGAAGTTCATCGTACTAACATAGTAGCCAAATTTATGTAGCGCCCTCTACTTGTAAGCAACATAAACATTCCTTTTTTGCTATTAACGTTTTGTAGTCTTCCATACTGAACACTGGTTTGTTATTAATGATAATGAATATTTTATGTAACCGTAGTATTTATCAATTCTTTACGATCATAACGCAGTTGTTGCATTATTTTTTGGTAGTGAATACCTTTTGAAAGCTAAACAAATATTATATCTAGGGAATTATTATATATTTGTAGTTCTTTCACAAATGTATTATTTGACCGTCCATTTTGACCAAAACCAATAAAACATTACATGTTACTAAATTCAAATGATACAGGCATTGAACCATATTAGAGTGAATTCATCCTTAATTTTGAAATTCCTAAACACAAAGACCTGAATTCATAATTATTTTTAAGTAATCTATAATTTTCTAGTACCGGTTACAATAGTTAAACGGAAAAAATAATGTTGAGATTAATGGTAAAGGTAGGGTAAGTCAGTTAAAAAATTTCATCATTTTTTTGGCCGTGATGCCCAGTTTTAAAATAATTGATCTGTTTTATTTGGACAATTGACCTACCTTTATCCATTCATTTACTTTCTCATATATCTAGTAACTAGTTTCTTTTTCATTGCATTTAATGCATACACATATTTATCATTGTCACTATTCGTCCTTGGCCCGAATTTTAGATATCATTTGGCGCCTAGCTGATTTGTCCATTGCAAATGAATTTCAACTGTTCCGAAACAAAGCTTATTTATTAGCGGACAACTCGCATTTACTTGATCAATTTCTTCCCAACAATCATTCAGCTTATTTTGTTTTTCTTTTAATATCATCGTGACCATTATCAATAAATGACCTTCTTCCGAGGTATTTTCGCTTCCAACATGGCTGTTAGAATTAACATAAATCCCAGCCCAGCCCCTGTGATCGAGTATATCCATCATTGGCTATATAATGATTGTTTTTCATCTCCCGTAGGAAGAACACAACAATACATAGTAATGCAGGAAATTCTGATAAGATTAAGTTCTTTGTTAAAAATGACCTCCCCAATGAAATGAAAAAAGATAAGAAATACAAGAGGGATGCCTACTACATTGTTTGATGCAAATACTGAAGGATCTGTATGTTTTTCGTTTGACCATCTGCAGACCAACCATTAAATTAATGACACGTGTTGGCAGCATTGCTACAAAACACAATATTTTTAATCCGCATAAATTAGCAGCATTGAAACCTTGGGTCAGGAAAACTCGCCTCAATTTCTGTGTCATTATTCTTATAAAAAGTTTATCTTTTGTTTTTTAATGTGTATTTATTTCAGTTATTTTTTATTGAAATATTATGTGGACATGTGCTTTTGTACACAACAAATTGATATATCCATACAAGAAAGATAACATGGAAAGTAAAAAACTGAAGGAAAATAATATGTACTATATGTTTTTTTTTGTCGTAATTGCATGTAGTTTTTTGCCTTGATATTTAAACATTGTTAATTTATATCTGTTATAAAAATGTAATTAAATGTTCGGTATGACAGTTAATTCGTTGAAGTTGTTTATGAAAAATTAATTGCCATTGTTCTTATATTTAATTTACCATCGATTTTTATTGTTTAAAATGTAAAATAAACCATATGAACTGCATTATCACTAATGATTTACAATCAGGCCAGATAAAAAGAAATATCTATAGAAGAATGGAAACATAACATTTTCGGGGAGGGGGAATGTAGTTGAAATTTATTATGAATAGGTATAACATAAATATTCAGAATAACCCGAATTTCATATTGATGACTTCTCAATGTGAGCAATATAGCTCTCAGCTAATCTGGTGACCACCATATTGTGTCCACTGGAAAATGTAGACCTGTGATCTCTGGTTCATTTCCACCTCTGGTCCTTTTGTACTTTCTTTTTAAAAGATTTTTACCTGTTGTTTGGAATTTCTGAGCTACCAAATTTTGTATGATTTATGATGTAATTAAAATTTGTCCAAAAAGAAAAACAAAATTTCTCTACGATTTTATGGATCATTGGTAATTGAAGCTGTTTTTGTCAAAACTTTTAATTTGGATAACATTTGGCAGATTGTTGAAATTTCCTGCCAAGCATCTTATTCAAGATTATTTAAATTCAGTGATAGCTTTAGCAGTCAAGAGAAAAGTCATGACTCATGTCTTAAAAAAAAAAGCTGCATTTCTTTTTTTGAATTTGAAAGTCAATTTATTTCACTACTACCGTAGTACTATGATTTCTATGTTTATTTTATTTCCTGGCTGAAATGCTAATCATTCAAAGTACCATCAGCTGCGTGTCACTATTTAAAATATACAATTTGTAATTAAGGAGTAAGTGACGTTATATTAAACATTATTTTACATTAAAAAAAAACTGATGCTATAAATTTGTACTAATTCTGACCTCAGATTTATTTTAATTATACTATTATATAGTTGTTTAATGTAACCTGTTTTTGTAACCTAGCTAATTTAATTATAAGTACTGTTCCTTATTAGAGGTACATTGAGGTACATGTCAATTTATTGGACAACTATATAAATTAAGGATGCACGAAGTATATGCCTCTCGGACAAATTCCAATTGAATTATAATGTTTGGTAGTGCATTTCTATTCTTTTCAATGTTGCCAAATTTTAGCTCAATTACATGCGAAAGTAAATATGATTAACTTTGACAGGGCATCAGTGCTTGCCAATTTTACGAGCTGTTCTATTTTTAAATGTAGATATGTCAAACAGGGGACATGCTCTTTTACTTTAATGGAGACTCCCTATCTTACTGAAAAAAAATTATAATGTTTATTTATGGTTAGATTTATAACCAGGAGAAAACAAACTTATGTGTATTTTATCGACACCTTGTGCGAAGGTGGCTCAAATTTAATGAATAAATTGTTGAAATAAGGTTTCTGAGTTCATTATTCGCTATATATTTTTGTGAACTTGTAATAGATGAATAAAAATGTGAAATTCTTTGGATTTTTTTCTAATAAAATAAGAAGAATCTGAAACATGCAGTTATAATGTTGGGGATACTGTGTCTAGCAATTTAGCTCCAAATATTCCCTGTTGACTGAGCTCTCTGCTTCAGTTTGATCTTTTCACCTCAGTACTCCAACGAAGCACTGTTTACGATCAGTTCTCGACTGTCTGGAAACAAGAGGCTACAACAAATTGAAGTTATTCTAAGCTTTGTTTTTGTTTTGTAGTCAGTACGCTATTAGCAATGGAGGGCTCACGTCGACTGGCAAGATTGGATGTTTTGCGGACTGTGTTACACATCGTCATGTTTCGAGTGCCGTTTCACCCTCCATAATTTTTATGAAGTTTAACTTTGTGGTGTAATATGTGATTTTCTTTTTCGTCTTTCACAGAGCCTGGAATTTGAGTCCTTGAGAAGACAGATGGACGAGTTGAAGAATATGGTGCAGTTGACCTTTGACCTGCAAATGGACATGCAACGAGCAATACGTCAGGAGGTGGCAGCTGCATTGACCGGTCATTCAGGTATGTGCTTGGTCTATTTGGCTTTGATGATTGGTAAGGGAAATGAAAGGCGACCATGCCTGATTTATCAGCTACCCAGACAAGTCCATATTTCAAAAAAACTTTCTACTTGCAAGCTCTCCATGTTAAAAATATACAGCTGCTTGGTTTGGCTGTTAAATTTATTTTAAGACATCCAATATACAATTGTGAAGGCTTTTTAGACAGCATTAAAAAATATACATATTTGAGGTCAAAAGGTGCCCTTTCTAAATTATGAACCATTCTTTGGGTGGAAGTTTTTAAATGTTATAATTATTTTTACGAACTGGAATTTAAAATTTATTGGAATCAGGAAATGAACATATATTTGCCACATTACAGTAATTCAGATATTTAAATGACTAAGAAAATCTTTGGATTTATATGCATAAATACATACTAGACATTGACATTTTATGCTACATAGGACAGCAATCATCTTATTGTTTTTGTGGATTGTGATTATTGTAGTGTTTTTTTTGTGTGTAAATAATGCTAGGATACAAGAGCATTTTTGTCTTGGTGGCCAGACACCCAGAAATTCTGTATTTTAGAGATTACAAATAGTTAATTACTAGAGTTAGTCTCCCACAATTTCCCCGGTCCCCAGGGGCAGATCCAGTGGGGAAATGGTGGGGGACATACTTTCTCTACAGGACGACGAACTAACAATTTATTTGTCTGTTTCTTAGCTTTTGTTCATGAAAACATTGTTCTTTTAATTATTATTATATTATGTTTCTGTATTTACATTCCTAAATTATTATATTTATTTATTTGTTTATTCATACCAACTTGACAGAATATTTCCCATGTAGTTTTGCATTGCTAGAGTTGATAGGAATGGTCTTGTTAAAAGACAATAAAATTAAAGAGATAATATGACCGACAACCATGCATAAACAAATACAATTTATTTTTAATTATTTATTTCAAAAATATTTTGTGAGATTGTTCCATCTTGCAGGAGCTTATTATTTAGGACAATCAACTAATCTAATTTTTATTCAAACTCTAAATTTATTTAATTTGTTCAATAATTTTTTTTCAATTATATTGTTCTTAATTTGTTTAAAATTTAATTCTTAAAAGTTGCCTGATTATTCATACATAAACCTATTCCATAAAATACTATATTAGAAGTAATGAGTGCCTGCTAATATGTCATTCACCAGTTGTTGGGAGTTGAATAAATTAATTAAACAGATGCTAAGAGCTTATTGAATTCCATAGTGGGCAAGTCGTATTTATAAATTACTTGCCCAGGGACTGGCCAAGCCCCAAGGATCACACTAACTAAAGATAACTCAATTTCAAGGGATTTCCTGTGTGATTATTAATAATTAGCAGGAATGTCAGTCCTTTTAATTAATAATAAAAATATTATTTACTCATATTGATGTTGTAATGTTCAACTAAAACACTCACAGACTATTGCTTTGTTCGATGTTGTAATGTTCAACTAAAACAAAGGAAATATATAAATAAATGCTTTAGGAATTATAAGCATCTTATTAAATGAATTATAACAAAGCAAGTTGATAGATCTAATAATTAAAAAGAAAGGATATCAAATTTAATGTAAACAAAATTTACGAAATTAAAAAATAAAGTAAAACAAAACCCAACAGTAAACAGATGAAGTTGTGTTAACTAATATTTCTTTCAAATAATAAAGTAAAATAAAACCTAACAGTAAGCAGATGAGTTTTTGTTAAGCACTATTACTTCTTCCATTGTATAAGTGAGTCGAGATATAACATCAGGTTTACCTTGAACGATTTGGGAGTGTAATTAATATTTTTTCCATGGAAAAAAATCCGGATGTAGCAATAGGATTTCATCCAGGACTCTGGGACTGGGAGCAGCTGCTAGGAAACCAAGCAACTTAAATCATGGAACTAAATTATCACTTCATAAAATATCTTAATGTGTTGCGGAAGCTTAAAAACAAGTATATTTACTTGCTTTTTTATATTCCAAGAACAGTAAAATGCTTAATGGATTCAATTGGTCATTTATATTGGTTTATGAGATATTCTGTTTTTTTTTACCTCTACGACGTGAATGAATCGCTACAGCTCATCATAAATATGCATGTCATTTTTCTAATACACTTTGGATCCGATAAAAACTCTCATTTGCATAAATTACCATTGAGTTGCCTTTCATTTATCTTTTAGTCGTTTCCAGATTGAATTATTCAATTAAATTTGACGTTCTTTAATTAGGATCCGCCATCTTTATGTTTGATATTTCTAAATGATTATCATGAAAATGTGTTAAAAGTTTTAATTTATTGTGGGATGTCAGGAGCAAAATGAAATATGGAGAATTAGAGGGAGTGGAGAGCTTATTAGGAAATTGATTAATATTTAATGTAATGCATTTCGGTAATTAATAATCCTAGACTGTTGTGAAAAGGCTTGTGAAAGGCTATATTAGAACTTTTTAATTGTTAGAATAATATTGAATTTAATGAAAGAAAAAAATATAGTCAATAACATTTTAAATGTATTAATTATAAACATATAAAGGTTTTAATTTATTGTGGGATGCAAAATGGTATGTGGAGAATCAGATTACCAGCAGATTGATTAATATTTAATGTAATACATTTTGGTAATTAATCTAATAATCACTGACTGTTTTCTTGTGAAAGGCTATAATAAAATATTTTGACTGTTGGAATAATACTGAATTTAAGGAAATAAAAAATAAATATATTACACCCTAACCCTTACACCGTACGTTTAAAAAAAAAATATCTGTTGTTACAATTTTGTAGGCAACTATTTATACCTTCTTGTTCAAAGTTAACTGTTTATCATTTTTGTATCAACTTACAATGTAAAATTAGCTATTACACAATTAGATTGGACATGGTTGAGATATGCTGGATTTCAGATTTTTGGTTGTATGTTCACATTTTGTCCTTCAACTGTAAACAAACGTCATTTCCTAAGCCTCATAATGAAGCGGTCTCTTGAGTATTGCATCGTTCCATCCTCTAATTAGCGAGTAGGAGTTTGCCGTAGGATGAACGAATTCAAAAGTAATTTTCTGGAAATCAGAACATTTGCAATTTTTTTCTTGAATGTGGCTCCGGCAAGACTAATTGACTGGACATTGGCCAAGTTTAATGATGAAACCATACAGAAATTAACATTTGACCTAAGTACTGGACATTACACCCTCATTGACCGGCGCCTAATGTCCGACAGGAAAGGCAGCTGTTAAATTGTGCGTGGGAGCCGGTCACTTTCATTTACTTATTTGAACTGGTCAACAACATAAAATCCATCCCATTGGGGAGATCTATTGTACAGTGTTACCTAAAAGTGTTGTAAATTTTGTATCCGCTGGATGAATAGTTAAAAGTATATTGAACCTAAAATGAATTCCATAACTTTTGTCTACCATTTCCTTGACCTTTCGTTCAAAGTCACATAAGAAGTAAGTAGGAAATTCTCTGCAGACAAGCAGCTACTTTTCAAGCTTTACCTAAAAATTTGTGATAAAAATAAATTGACATGTTATGCTGACCCAAGACAATGCAGTGATTCCTACTTAAACTTTTCTATTGTGATGGGAGTATAAGTGCATTGTCCAAGAGAGGGTTGTAATCTATCTAATTGTCCTGCAAAATATTTCGACTCCATTTAACATCCAACTCAATTTAACATCCATTTTCATTGGTATTTATGTGTGAATTTTTTGCTGTCACTTAGTATTGACGTGATTATAATCGCGTCAGAAGGCCACATGTTTAGAATTGTACGATTTTTTTTTATGACGTGCTTATTACTGCAGTCTTACTGTACACATTATGGTGGTATAATTTCCCGCTTCTGACAGTCCTTGAGCCCAGGAAACCATTGACTCGGACCTCTGGTTTTGGTCAAATAATAATTGACAGTCAAGTTTAAAGTCAAATTTATTTTATCTCATTCCCCACACATGAGGACCATCTTGTACAGATCCGTCATCGACTACCTAAGTTGGTATAATTTTGTTTTACTCATTGGTAACCAATTTACATTAAATATAAATACAAATCTAATGTAAAAACATGGAAAAATCTTCCCCCACCCCAAATTAGTTTTTTCCAGTATACTTCATTTTAGTCTACTTTTTTGCTTCCGAGTCTGGTTTTCCGCTTAACATAGAAAATAATCTTAGGATTTGAACCTAGAACCTTGAGGTTAGAAAGCAAGCATCTTAAACTACCAATTAAAGTTCCTGTTTAATACATTAATATATAAGGGGTTTTGGTTTACAATAAATCATTTTTATTGTAAATCAAAACCCCTTATATATTAATGTACAATGTTCTATAAACTCAGTCTCAGTGAGGCTTGTGGATTTGTGTGGCATTTAGTAACATAGAAAATAATCTTAGGATTTGAACCTAGAACCTTGAGGTTAGAAAGCAAGCATCTGAAACTACCAATTAAAGTTCCTATTTAATATATTAATATATAAGGGGTTTTGGTTTACAATAAATCATTTTTATTGTAAATCGAAACCCCTTATATATTAATGTATTAGGGGTTTTGTTTTACAATAAATCATTTTTATTCAGTTTTCCAGTTGTAGAAGCGGTTTCAATCATTTGCTGTGCATTTCGCTTATGTCTTTGAGCAAGGCTTTAGTCTACCCAGCTATATCAGTAGGTACCAGCAAATTGCGAGGAATAATCTGTGATGAACCACAGGTAGTGTCCCATCCAGAGAGAGCATCACACACACTCTCATGCACTTATGCTACAGAAACTGGAGATTCAGCCCTCAGTTACTCTGCATCGATTTACTTTTGTTTTTTCCAACAATATTAGCATAGTTATTTTGTCAGACTTGCAAAAGAAATATATAATCACGCGTTAAAAAAAAAAAAAGAAGCACATTAAGAATGTGAATAATTGTTGATATTCTCTTTAAATTACAAAAAAATCGGATTTGTTTAGAGGCTATTCGGATTTTTTGAGGGGCGTCTTACAAATCACACACCAAACATTTATTTTTTACCTTAAAAGTTTTAAATATAATTGACATAAACAAGCTGCAAATTGCGTCATTTATGTATCGTTTATTTCATAATAGCCTTCCCAGTCATATTACGTCGTTATTTACTAAACCTTCCGATATTCGCTCGTCTAAATTCCATGTTCTATTCTATATCTTGGACCCAAGTTATGGAAAATATATCATTGGACTTGGACAAAAAAAAAAAAAAAAAAAAAAAAAAAACTATTTTGCTAACCATTGTTCAAGTCCGATAGATATTACATTGATTTAACAATAATATATGTCCCCTCGTTAAAAGATAAACTGAAATTATAGAGGCGTGACGGTCCATTCTTAATTACGGTCATCTAAGTGGCAGATGTTAGGTAGATTGCCATTGTAGCGTCCATTATTCACATCCATAATTCACATGTCACTGATTTTCACGTACTTTCTGAAAACCTAGTTGGAATAATAATCTGGTACGGATGGGAATGATCTTGACAACGGTAATACATTCATCCTCATCACAACTTAAGTATCTTTAATAGACCAGCAAATAGATTACCTTAGAAAATTATCTGAAGTAAAATATTTTTAAAATATGAAAATAATAACAAAAATTTAACCCAACAAATACAATAATTACTATTAGAGTGATCTTTGAATGAGTTGTATTCCATTCAATTATATTACATTCCATTGTTATTTTATATTTATTTTCATCAGTATTTTTAAAATATGCAATTCTCTAGCCAGGGAATATGACTGATCAGCATTTGGCCTTATCTGTCCTATCAAATTTATTTAAAAATGCCCACGCAAACCAAAATCAATTTTAAAGACTGTTGCGCTAATGTGGCAAACAAAGCAAGATGATATTGGTTTTGAAACGAAGGCTTCTGATTGGACAAATTATCACACAAAGCCCATGGGTAAACTAACGTATGGACATTTTTTTCAAGGAAAGTAAGAAGAAAAAAAAAACTACATTAAAATGAAGATTAAGGCATTTGTGTTATTCTTCGGCCAAATGACCTTGCCTCAAGCAGATATTGTAGCAGGTCGTGAGTCATATTTAAGAGTAATATTTTCACAAATTTCTATCAACCAATAATAATAATAATATATATGGCGTATGAATGGAATTTCGTATTGTTCTGAATCAATAATTTTTTTTATTAGAAGCCAATATAAGTGAATTATATTTTTCATTTAATATATTTTTCACCTTTTGTTATTGTGTATTTTTCAGTAATTTAATGTCAAGGTGGATTATTCATGACCCATTAATTTAGTATCTAATTTTGCATATAGATATTTTTTTTTATTATATTGTCATTTTCAGTGTTATGCTTTGATTTATGAACCTCATTTCGAAGACAAGATACTTATATGCATAAATTAAACACCATCTGTTTGTTTTCAAAGTTATTAGTAGTATTTCAGCTTTATATTACAAGAAACAAATGAAAATGTCAGGATGAAAAGAGACAAATAAAGTAGACCTAATCACAATAGAAATAATGCACTATATAAGTCAAATATATTATTATTAAATATATAAATTGCATATAATTTTGTATTCTTGATTATTCTTGGAATAATCCTTTACTGTTGACTAGTTAACATGGGAAAAAAAAATCATGATATAAAATATGAAATTAGGTAAAAAGTACTGAATAAAAATATAATAGGGAATATAAATTAATGTAACTTTACTTATAATAAAGTTATATTTTGTTTATAATGAAAACTTTTTTTTTTGTACATTTAATTAAAGCTGGTTTCATTAGCCGCTTCATGGGTATTTTTAGTGTCATTTCTAGGATTGAATATTGCCCTCTAGACTTAACCAGGACAATTAATAATTAAAATATTAATCTCTTTCCCATGTGGAGATTTATGTGTTAATTTGATACATTTGAATGATCATGAGGGCACATGTAAATTTTCTGCATCAAAAGATTGAGAACACAGGATGTTTGCTTTTTTATCAATAATATATGGATGAATGAAAACTTGCAAGATTATTTTGTCTTCTCATTATAGAGATAAATTTCCTCATAAGCTAATTTTATAATGTTTCTTTTCATTCGCAGGGCCTGGAACTTTGCCCCAGAATGCTACTCAGCCAGCCAATGAGGGACACTGTCTCATCTGTTTGGAGAAGTCAATAGATTCGGTCCTGTATCAATGCGGCCATATGTGTGTCTGTTTATGTTGCGGTCTGAAGTTAAAGTCACAAGGTAACAATTGTCCAATGTGTCGTGCTCCTATCCGCGATGTTATCCGCGCTTATCGTTGCCATGATGAGTAGAGGAAAAAGAAGTGTGGCAGGGAGTAAAGGGCGGGCAGGGGAGCTGGAGTTTGGGAAATGGACCGGGAGATAAAGAGAAAAATAAGTGGGAGGCCAGGAAATGTAAATAGGTGGACAAGAAACACAAATAACTAGAAACGGTAAAGCAGTGTTGGGATAATTTTGAGAGAAGGAAATTTCAATAATAGGGAGAACCAAGTTCATAATATAATTAACCATGACTACAAACAAATTAACATACATAAAAGTAGAAAAACGAAAACAGTTTGATTAAGAAAGAGTTCTTGAGGGAACTTTGGTATAGGCTCTTTCAAGGATTATTATTGTTTTTGTTATAATATTTCATTTTAAAGTGCAACCCACCACGTACCATTCTGTCATGGATTAAACGTCCTTGATTCTGAAGATTGTTAAAAAGCAATATTATTTACAATGTGAGAAATTCCTTCTGTTGCCCATTAAAAAAATTAATTGACAAAGATAATTATACAAAAGAAGGAAAACCTTCAGATTACAAAATTAGATATAAGTATGTAACCTTCAGTTTTTAAGGGAATGGAGTGAAAAATACATAGTTATTATTACTCTATTTTTTATTTGAATATTTTTACCATCATTTTAATATTAGTTTATTCTTAATAATAGCATGGACATCACTAACTGCTGCGTTTGAACTAATGGAAATTACATATCTGAGTTGCAATTATTTTGAAAGCTATAATAAAGAAAATAATATGTAACAAAATTTTATGTGGTCTATTAATTGTATTTTTATTTCATATTGTAATTGTATCATTGAGAGCTTACAAAATGGAACAATTCATCTCCGATATGTAACATAATTTGTTGCTGTTTGATCGCTGCTATTGTTTATATCATTAGATTTCTTTCAAAAAAATAATTCAGATACATTTTGAAATATCTTTTTAAAAACTTTTTGGTGATCCTAAAATATGAAATGTATTAATTTCATCATAACCAGGCAGTAACTTGAGGATGCTAATAGAGTATCAGCTTAAAAATAAAACATTTTTGCAAGTTTAAAAAATGTAATTTCTTGTTTTGGAATCATCAAATATGATTGAAGAACATCTTTGGCTATATTGAACTGGTACGTTTCATAAAGAATTACTTTAATTCAGTTGGTGTATGAAGTAGACTTTTTTGATAACATAAGTCTGAGTTAATTAATTTGAAAAATTTCCATGTGATCAAATCAGGGTACGTAGGCAACCATAGTTACGTTGAATGTTTTCACTCGTTTTCCTTTCGTGTGGACATTTTAAGCCCGGAATATTCCTGGCTTTAAAAGGGTTTAATGAAGAACGACCAGTGAAATATGCCAATTGATGAATTTGTTGTTACTGTCATTGTTAATGTCATTTTAAAAATGTTTGTTTTATTCTTGAAAACAAGAAATTATGGACATTTAAATAATTTTTAAAGATAAATAATGTTTGTAAATAATATAGTATGAATTCCTAGATGGTTTGATCTAACACAATAGAAAACTAATTTCTATTTTTAATGCTAAATTTTACTATATATATATTATAATCAAGAATCATGTTAGAATTGTAAACTTTTTTCTGTTATATAGTGAGAGAGTCCTTATGTAAAAAAAATAAAGAATAAAATTAATAAATATAAATTAAAAGTTGTGTTATTCTACTTTTTAAAAAGTATTTGACAATTGAAAAACTATGTGATAATTAGTGTTGGACAAAAGAAAAGTGAACGTTATGCAAGCCTCTTGTAGACTTAATATAATATGTAAAAGTACCGTAACTTGAATTACCAGCCCTGGGGTTACATTTCACCAACCAAAATGCAGGGTGAATGATGGTTGGCTGTAAAATCTAAAATTAGACCCAGCCATAGCAAAATAAAGAAAAAAAGAACACAGTAGATCGACTTGATTTCCAAATGTTTCTTTTTTCTTCACTAATTACACTTTTTCTTAACTAATTTCTTGTTTACATGTAAATTTGTGAAATAAGAAGACCTTATATATACTGTATTTATTTGAATAAATACCATGGCCATTTATTGTTGAGAAGGGTTTTTGAGGAGGCGTTTATTCAAGGGAAGCATTTATTCGAGGAGGGCGTTTATTTTTTTTTGTGTGTAAAATGGATACGCATACACGCATAATTGCCATGAAAATGTGTTATTGTGTAACCATAAAGACTTACTAATCCCAAGCAGGTTAGAAAAAATGTAATTCTGCTGGTATAGAACATTAATAGGATGCGTTGAGAATGACATTGCTTCCATTAGATTTCTGAACATATTCATTTGTGGTGGGGGGGGGGGACTTTTATTAGAGGAAAAAATAGATTTTGATAGAGTGAGGCGTTTATTTCAAATGAGGCTCTAGAGAGGGCGTTTATTCGAGTGGGGTTGGTGTTTATTCAAAGCAGGGAATTTATTCGAATAAATACAGCAAGTAAAAAAGATTGACAAAGATTCTTTGCACCATGTTGTTTGGGAGAGTGGGGGATGTGTGGGGTTGGGATGAGCCACTATAGTTTTTTTTTAGTTGGAAATCTCAGATCAAGAGATGTAGATTATCATTCTGTAAACTTCAATTTAAGCAAGTCCAGTCTGGGAGAACATGCATGCATTTCTCCTTTGTCTTTCATTGAGCAGACGAGTGAGTGAATAGTTCTATAATCAAGCGAAACATATGTGCGTGAATGATTGAGTGAGATAAACATGTACAAACAACTGTGAAGTGTGAAGTATCATTCGGTTTGGCGGTTCTTTCACACATGTCCTTCAATTTCTTTCAAACGCCATTTAACAATTGGAAACACATCAACACACGACGCATGAATATTGATTTTGGGATTTCCTAAAATTGGCGAAAATAACACTGGGATGACGTATTCATAATAATAACCACCAAGTCTTGTAATTTGTATCTGCTGCAAAAATGTGGGAGCAATTCCTACAACGTTTGCTGTAAATAAATATAAAGAGCGCAAAAATTAATATTTTACATGGTTTTAATCGGGAGGAATTCTACTTGAGTGACGGTTGACTCATCGATGGACATGCTTCCTCTTGTTGTCATTTCTTGTCAGATTTGGATGAGTTTGTCCCTGGATAGTTTTCACATCCCATCATTCTATCACTCACTTGATATCTGGACATAATCATTGAAATCAATGATGTGCAGCTCCTATCAAAATGCTCCTAATTTTTATTCAGGAAATCACTTGCTGATATGTAGTACTCGCATCGAAAATGCTGTTTTGTGAACCTGGTTAAATTTTTATATATGCACATCAGTCATTCCTTGAAGTATATTTTAATACATTTGTTATATGTAACATACAGTATAAGTTTTTGTGGTGTTTTAAGCTTTGTTTTATTTATATATGTCAAGCTTTGACTTAAAAGTACATATCTATGAGAAAGACCTTTTTTGAGTGATTATGTGATGGTCACCCTGGTGAAATATTACTTTACCTTACCTATCTGCTTCACATCTGATGTGCTCAATAAGGCCTCCTGGTGAAATGTTACAAATGAATAAATAAATAAAATATTATATAAGTATTTTTAAAGAATCAGCAGCTGATAAACTACTACTTATGAACAAAATAGTCCCTTTACTGTACTTTTGTATCTATATGTTTGTTTATAATATTTAATTACAATATTGTCAACTCCAAAACAGACATGACATTACAACATTTTATTATATCCTGGCCCATCAATCAAAGAAAGTATTATGCTGAGGAACAACCATTAGTTTTAGTTTAGAATAATTTAAATGAAATTACACAAATAGTACAAATGAAATTACACAAATAGTACAGTGCAAGGAACCAGTGGTCAGGTGGCTTAGTTCACTTGGCAGAGAGTTCAACGATACCCTGAAGGCCACTGGTTCGATTCCCACAATGGTCTATTATCGGCCAATCAATCAACAGACAATTTCTATGCTCCTCTTTAGTGTAATTTACTGGACATTTTTTCTAAAGAAACAAAAACCCAGAAAAGACTTCAGTTAGAACAGTATATTGTTCTTCGTTTATCAAATCTATCCACATGATAAGCTAATGTAATCAAGCATAAAAAAAAAAATATATATATATATTTCTGAGAGATTACATGTTTTTAAAAGGAAAAGTTGCATTGGTCTTATTAAATTCTTTTATAACATGGATATAGATGTAGTTCATGGCCGAGTGAAGGCTTGATCAACTAAGCATGTTACCCCTTCTATATTTGTTCATGGATTAATGACTGTAAAGGCTCTTTAAGTCCTATCATCCATGCACATCTTTACTATAGGCTTAACTTTTTTATCAATTCACCCCTAATCCTTACTTCTTTACCTATTCAATATATAATCAAGTTATGGTCAAAGCAATGTCATTGTTAGCATTTTAAAGAGTTCTACAGTACACTCGCCATGGGGTATTATATTCTTTGGAAGTAATGCAATGGATGTCTGAAATTTTCTATGAAAAAATAATCGATCAGATAAAAATCACTTGTGTGAGTAAATGGAGATGAGCGATTCATGTACTTTTAATAGAAAGAAAAAGAAAAAAAACAGGAAAGTAAGTCATAAATGAAGTGTGATTCCAAACAAGATTTTAATTTTTTAAAATAAATTATATTTATATTTTCTTATATAATCTTTTAGGTTTTTTTTCTCCTCCAATAAATGAATTAGTGTGCTAACAGATGTTATTGTTAAAGTTGTAGGCTTTCCGTGTTGAGGGTCCCAAATGATCTGTAGTTTCTATAAAGAAATTAATTTTAATTTAATATTGTTAATTTTTTCTGGTCCTTAAATTGTCATTATTTCTTTTATCTGCCATATTTTTACTTCTTGTGGAGGGGTGCTATGAGCGTATCCCCTTAAACAAATTCCTGCGCTTTATAAGTTTTCATTATTATTGTTATTATTATTATTATTATTATTTTATTTATTTATTTATTTATATATTTTTTTATTGCATAATTTGTTTACAAGTATTCTTGTTGCATTCCTAAACCTTTATGAAGGCAAGCCTCTGATTTTAAAAGTTCATTCATTTATCACACTCAACCATGGCTGAATAAAATACCCTAGTTTCGTACCTTAATGCATTATATTGCAATAGTTCATGTAAATAAATGGATTGTGTCTATTCTGTATTATATAGCCCTACTTGCGTACTTCTGTGTCTAAATATACAATTTTTAGTAGTAACCTTAAAAAATTTACAATTCGTTCCGATATTCATCCCACGATTAATGGTTGGAGATCAATTAGGATTTGTATCTTTTCCTTGATTAATGATTAATGAGTTCCTTATAGATGCAGTGATTAATTAAGATTGAACTGAATGCATGAAAGTAATATTGTAAATTAAAAAACTTATATTGAGACTTGTTTGTTTAGTATCATCTCTGACGGATTCACTGTTATTTATTTGATAGGCAATTTTTCATAGGCATACAAAAAAATGACAAATGGTCAGTTGAAATGACAGCAGTAAAATTAATTCATGGCTATGCATGGGCCTCTTGGGTTGCCTAGAGACTGTTAGTTTATCATGAGACTGATAGGTCTTCCTCCAAATAGACCATTTTTGGGACCAGGGTTTCCATTGTCTTTGGTCTAGAATTAGAATACGAAAGATAAAAGACATTTGTTCATATGGGGACAAAGAAAAGTGGTCTGTATTTGAGGTGATCTGTAAATGAGACCTGTAGATTATCATACGTTAATTCACAAATACCATAAAAATAAGCATTGTTTTACATGGGATTCAAACAAAATACTGTAGATGAGTACCAGGATTTTCAAAGTCACTGGTTCAAATGCTTGAGTCCATATTTCTGCATCATTTCATTATAATTACCTCATTGTCATCATCATTATCATCATCATCATCATCATCATCATCATCATATACAGGTTTCCCTCCAATTTAAAACTGGGGTTTTTATGGTCTTTAGCAGCTTTGATCTTATAATTAGAAAAATTATATTTATAAAAATAAAAGATAGACATTCAATTTGGACTACAGAGAGGTGATCTTTAATTAGAGTGAGACCTATATTTAGAAATACAAAACATTTGTTCTTTTTTCTAATATTGTGTGTGTTATCATCCTAGATATTTAGTGAACATTCCTCAGAACTTTCCAAGTAAAAACCCTGGTTGATGAATATGAATTTTTTATTTGAATAGATCTTATTCCAATTAAAGACCACTCTTGTGGCCGGGTTTTCATGGGCTGTAGCAGCATTGCTCTCTATTTCTCTAGACATTCATCTGGGACTGCAGAATATTGGCCTTTAATTGAAGATGGCCTTTAGTCAGGGACCTTATTTATGTTTTTATTACTATTAGGGTCATATTATTGTGCCACCATTTCCAGTATTTATTCTCATTCATTGTCACGCTAATGTATTGGTAGAGCTACTCATGAATCCTATTCACTCTGATTAAACACAGTTTATGATGTATGAGATGTATAATTTTGAATTACCTAATATTTTTTTCATCAGTCCTAAATAAATACTTCACTATTCATGGATTTCATAATATGAATTAAAGGGTTTTATTAAAATGTATTATTTACATTGAAACTTAACACAATTATTAAAAATTTTTGAAATTAAAAAAAAATTAATATAATATTAATAATTATATTAATATTAATTTTTAAAGCATCACTTCAGCTACAGAGGTGTGGTGTCAACTGTGCTGTGTATGATGATGGTGGGAAAAATAATGAGTTTTGATTAATTTCTTAAATGATTCAATACCAAAAAATGTTTAAAGTGTATATTGTAGGCAGGGAATTCCAAAGTGTTGGGTACTGCAAAAGAAAGTGATGATAATAAACCAATAAATCAAATCAGTAAGTAAAATTTATTTTGTTTTTTTCTGTAGATTTATGATCTTGTGCAGTTAATAACATTGAGAATTTGAACACATGGATAATAATAATACGTAATCAAATAATTAAATGTTGTCATTTCAATAGTGATCGGTGGTCAATATGACCTGCTCATACATTTTGATAACCTATCTGTGTGGAACTGTGTAGATCCATATAGACCCTTTCCATCATCATTTCTTAGTCGCAAGTTTTGCCCTCCATACTGTTATTTATTTGGATTATTCCTCCTGCTATGTCATTGTGAATTATGTAGGTGAAATGTCATTGCCTTTAATTTTTAATAATTTGAAATATTCACATTACAAAGGATTTATGATTGTAACTATCCTATCATTATTT